GCTCACAGACGCGGTAAGATGCAACTCGGTATGGCTCACAGACGCGGTAAAGGCTAGCTGGCTCACAGACGTTGTAAGATGCCTGACGCCCTCCAGCAGCACCTGTGAGACACAGACTCAGTATGGCCTGTTTTTGTGATTGAGACCAAAATCCCTTACCTCCTTCTGCTGTGTGTCATTGGCTGCTGTGTGTCATTGGCTGCTGTGTGTCCTTGGCTGCTGTGTGTCGTTGGCTGCTGCGTGTCATTGTCTGCTGTGTGTCATTGGCTGCTGTGTGTCATTGGCTGCTGTGTGTCATTGTCTGCTGTGTGTCCAGCCTAAGCAGCAAGCCGCAGTGTGTGTGTACGTGGGTGGGTATAACGCTGTTTGCCATACCACTCAATTCGCATCTCCCCTTCTTTCCCCCTGCCGTCTGTCCGCAGTCCCACGATGCAGGGCTGGGCAGCAAGTGGCAGGTGTATGTGGGCATCATGCTCTTCGCAATCGCAGTCAAGTCAGCGCTCTATTTCTACTGCCGCATGTTCCCCAACAACGACATTGTCATGACATATGCCCAGGTGAGTCACAGAGACCATCAACCTACACTACAGTGTCATGGTTCCCATTGTCGTCTACTGCTGCATGCTCCCCAACAACCACATCGTCATGACGTATGCCCAGGTGAATTGTACAGGCCACGACTTGATGGTTCATGTCTCTCATTGCCATAATATATCCAGGTGAGTTGCAGATACCATCAATCTACAGTGTCATGACTCATATTGTTGCCTACTGCTGCATGCTCCCCAACAACGAAATCGTCATGACATACGGCCAGGTGAGGTGGTTATTTGTCGGCATGACCATTACGCCATGGTAGCATGACTCTCATTGTTGTTTACTGCCGCATGCTTCCCAACAGCGATATTCATGTGACACCATCATGACACGATTACCGCACCATCACAGCACCATCACAACGCCATCATGCCGTACCATCCAGATCATTTCTTTGGGTTGCCGACCGATAAACCATTGCTCAACTCTGAAGTCGGGCCCCTACTGCCCCCTGTCTCCGTGCATAACAACACCAAGCCCACAGCACCGCCATGCCGTGCCCCTAGGGCCTTTCCTTTGACGTGGTCACCAACACGTGGACCATCAACCGACTCTAATCTCACTGCCTCTACCGCCCCCTGGCGCCCTCCACCTTCCGCCTTGGCGGGCACCATGCCATGCCCGCAGGACCATTACTTTGGCGTGGTCGGTCACCAACACATACATAGACCATCAACCAATGCTAATCTCGCAGCCTCCACCTCTCCTTGGCGCCCTCCACCTCCCATCATGCCATGCCATGCCGCAGGGCCATCTCTTTGACGTGGTCACCAGCACATGGACCATCAACCAACTCTAATTTCACTGCCTCTAATCTGGGTCTTTGCCATTTCTTTGCCACGCGCTATGCCGTGCCCACAGGACCATTTTTTTGACGTGGTCACCAACAGCGTTGGGCTGGGCGCGGCTGTGCTCGCAGGGGCCCTTGCCTGGTGGATCGACCCTGTCGGTGCTATCTTGGTATGACTCTGCCGCCCACCCTCTGCCGTCCACCCTCTGCCGTCCACCCTCTGCCGTCCACCCTCTGCCATCCACCCTCTGCCGTCCACCCTCTGCCGTCCACCCTCTTCCATCCACTATCTGCCATCCACACTCTGCCATCCACTCTCTGCCCGTCTGTCATCCATGCTCAACCAAGTGTGGCTGCACTGTTCATTGCAACCTGTTGCCATCCCCCTCTTTTCCCTCCCCCCAGATCGCCCTCCATACCATGGTCAACTGTGGTTGATCGACCAGATCAACTGGAGCTGGGGTTGCAAGGTTTCTTTCCTGTGTGCCTTTCCTCTAGCTTTATCCCCCCTCCAACTCCCCTCGCTACCCTCTCTTCTTCCCCCCCCCCCAGATCGCTCTCTATGCCATGATGAACTAGGTTCACACTGTCCTTGGGAACGTCACCTCCTTGCCTTGTCTCCCTCTATTCCATCTACTCCCTCTATCCCCTCGCTTTCCTCCTTCCCCCCCCCAATCAGCTCGCCCTCTACGCCATGCTCAACTGGGGCCGCACGGTCCTTGAGAACATCAACTCGTTAACAGGCCGATCAGCGCCGCCCGAGTTCCTGCAGAAGATAACGTACCTGTGCTGGAACCACCACGAGGCCATCCTCTTACCCCCCTCCCCCCCAGCTCGCCCTCCACACAGAGATCAACTGGGGCCGCACGCTTCATTCCAACCCTTCCCTTCCCTCTTCCTTCTCATTCCCCCAACCCCCCTCCTCCTCCCCCTCCCAGCTCGCCCTCTACACTATGGTTAACTGGGGCCGCACAGTCCTTGAGAACGTCAACTCGCTGACGGGACGGTCGGCGCCGCCCGAATTCCTGCAGAAGATAACGTACCTGTGCTGGAACCACCACGAGGCCATCCTCGCTATAGACACCGTGCGCGCATACACCTTTGGCACGCTCTACTTCACTGAAGTGGATGTGGTGCTTCCCAGAGACATGCCCTTAGAGGTGGGTTTGTGAGCTGTCTTGTGGTGAGGTTGAGAGCCGCTTACGGATCACGATGCAGCACATTGTCCCGAGGTCAAGAGATTGAGAGGGGTGCCCCTCGAAGGCGTGCACCCTCGGCACGCTCTACTTCACGGAGGTCGATGTCGTATTGCCGAGGCACATGCCCTTAGAGGTGGGGGGAGGGGTGGTGGCTTGAGGGGACTTGCCCTTGGAGGTAAGAAGTTAGGGCTGTGACCTTCAGATCACATTGCAATGATGAAAGTAATATGCACAAATTGCCTCATCAGGTGAGAAGTGCTGAGAAGCTGAGCTGAGAGGCTGAGAAGCTGAGCTGAGAGGCTGAGAAGCTGAGCCGGTGTGAGAGTCTGAAATGGAGTCGTCCTGAGCTTACCGTCACATCACATCCTCATCCCAACCTCTCCCTTCCACCTTCCATCTCTTCCGCGTCTGCTTTTGAGTCGACTCAAAAGTATGTTATCAATATAAAACTGTGTGTTATGGGTCTGCTTTTGAGTCGACTGAAAAGCAGACTCATCCCGACCTCTCCCTCCCGCCTTTCATCTCTTCCGTGTCTCCCTCCTCCTCCCTCCCCTCGACTACCTCTCCTTGCACCTGCCCCATTGGCAGGAGACACACGACATAGGGGAGGCCCTTCAGAACAAGCTGGAGAGACTGCCTGAGATCGAGCGTGCCTTTGTGCATCTGGACTATGAGGTTGAGCACCGGCCAGAGCACCATCAGCACTCATCGTTCCCTGCTCCCCCCGCTGCGCCCACCATCACAACTCTTCCTCCTCCGGACACCCCCACTGGATGATTGTTCTACTGCGGCTATTTTGTGGCTGGATTCATCTATGGTGTATGCTTGGTTGGCTGGTTGTGGATATGAAAAAGCTTCACTATGCTGACACATGCAAGTGTGCCCCTGATTTCCCCCTTTTCTGAAGAGCGTTGTGTGTCTTTTTATTTCCATGGCAATCTTTGTGCATGGTTGTTGCGTATTGGATGAACCTTGGTTATATTTTTTTTTTTAGATTGTAGCACCGGTAAAGTTTCTGTTTGCGGTGTTCTTTTGTAGAAATCAAAACGTACCGTTGGGTGATGATAAAGAGCGGGCCTCGCCTCGTCATTCCCAGTGCCGTTTCGCCTGACGCCCGCAGCAGCTTCCCTCCAAATTCAGTTCGGAAGGAAAGCTTCGGGCAGTGCAGTCAGTCAAACGTGGTTGTGGCGGTGGTGGATTCAGCTGAAGCAAGCGCAGCAGCAGTTTTTCCAGTGAAGCTACATTCTGCTGCTAGATTGAAATCCCAAGGTTGTAATCTTTTGAACGCGGATTTTAGGCTATATCCTTTCACCCTGACGGCGTAGGCTACGCTTGTTGGTAGAAGATAGCGCTTAGACGCCGTCGGACACGTCTGTGAGACGACGTCGCCCCTTTAGTGGCTCGCGGTAGAGGTTGAGATTCGCGTGCTTGAGTCGCGTTTCATGATTACACGAAGATGCAGCCGCTAGGTAGGTGACGGCCAGGGGGAGTAACGGAACTCAGTCGTCGCCTTCGTTTTCACCAGCAACCATCCGCAGAGTTATTCCCGATCATTAATTCTGTTGTACACTAGTCTAGGCTGTTAATCCCGAACGAATCTGCTGGATACACTGCCAGTCTACTCCCAGTAGCGATTTTTGAGTCGACTCAAAAGTCAGCTGGATACACTACCAGTCTATTCCCAGTAGCGATCCGACATGGCGACACGGAATCGCACAGCCGTTTTCATGAAGCATCGAGATGCTCTCAAGTCAACCAGGCCGAACGCCGGATCTACAGCAGCAGCTCGCGATCTCGATCAGGCGGAGAAGGGATGGGGGAAAGCGAGAAAAGGAGGAGGCTATGTCCAACTGACTCGATTAGACACGGGAGACAGGTACGTGGAACGGAACTTAAGCCTTGCTCTTGACGCACCTAAAAAAAGGTGGTGGTATGGGGTGCGGGACGATAAGGAGGAGGCTACGTCCAACTAACTCGATTAGACACGGGAGACAGGTACGTGGAACGCAACATTAGCTACGGTGGTATATCACAACTGAAATTCGCTGGTAGAGCTAGCTTCCAATTGACCCTCTCGAAATGGCGAGATTTCGGAATGTCTGAAGCACGGCTCTAATGGACGTTTCCATTTCCTTTACTGGATGGCTCTGGCTCAGGCTTTCAGCAGGGACGTCAGGCGCAGCAGCGTCGCAACCAGCCAGTTCCGGTGGGTTGGGAAGCCCAGGCCTACCCCCTGTGTGGGTAGATGTGTCTGATAAGATCAAGGAGGATATGCAGCGAATTAGGGGGAAGATGGGTGAGCTCGCGAAAGTCCAGGCACGCGCTCTGCTACCGACGTTCGACACGGATGATGCGCGGGGGAAGAAGAACGAGCATGAGCGAACTATGGAGGTGCTCACAGCGGAGATTACACGGTCTTTAAAGACGTGCGAGCAGCGGCTGCAGCGGCTGTCGCAAAAGGATGCCACGTCAGCGGGGAATGCGGCCATTGCACGCAATGTTCAGGTATGCTGCAAAATTCAATATGAAACTGGCCGACGCAAATTCAGAAGGAAGTCATCTAAAATGAAGCACTGACATAGCTTGGAAAGAGGCGGTACTGAGCTCATGCACCACGAAAAAACTCATATTGCAGCCACCAGTCTGGAAATTGCTCACTGAGGCTGTGTGGTTGTTCCCTCCCTCCCCACCCCCCCCCCCCCCGCAACCCCCAAATCTCCTCCCCTTTCCCACAATTCTTCTATTTTTCATATCAGAGATGCATGGCCACCGACTTGCAACAACTCTCCATGGATTTCCGCAAGCAGACAAAGCAGTATCTACGGCGACTGCAGCAGCAGCAGCAGCCACAAGAAAAGGTATGTGTGTGTGTGTGCGTGTGTGTGTATGTAGCAGGCAGCGAGAAAGGTGCAGCTGCTCAGTGGCTGGTGCGACTGTGAGCATATAATATAAGGTCACTCCAGAGACAAACAGAGAGAGGTCTCTGAAGCTGCAGAGTGGTTCACAGATCGGCATATTGTCTTGCCTCCTCCTCACCTCTATGCCATAGTAAACCCTAAAAACACCCAAGTAACACTGGCTCGCATTCTTGCTTCCTTTGCTGACTTGTTATCACATCTGTGTGTAATGAGTCGATTTTTGAGTCGACTCAAAAATCGACTCATTACACCTGGCTCGCATTCTGGCTTCCTTTGCTGAGTTGTTATCACATCTTCATGTCTTGGCCTGTCCTCTTATGGCTGTTGCTCCTGTGCTCATTTAGGTGTATTTTGAGTCGGCTCAAATTGCTGACTTGTTATCACATCTTCATGTTTTGGCCTGTCCTCTTATGGCTGTTGCTTGAGGAGTCTATTTTTGAGGCGCCTCAAATATAGTGTCCTCTTATGGCTGTTGCTTGAGGAGTCTATTTTTGAGGCGCCTCAAAAATAGTGTCCTCTTATGGCTGTTGCTCCTGTGCTCATCTGCCCGTGAGTTTGCAACTGTGCGTGTCAGGCTGTGCTGGGCCGTGCTGGTGCTGGTGGGTCGTCAGGCAGGCTACATGAAGTGTCGTCAAGCTCAACGCAAACAGATGATGATGACTACTTTGACCCGGTACACAGTCGGTTCCTCTGACCTTCCCCCACTCCTCCCGCCCCCCGTCCCCACCCTCCCCATTCTCATCTCTTTCTAAGAGAGGAGAAAGAACACACACTCCCCCTCATCCCTTCTCGTTCCCCTGCCTCCCGTTCCCCTCTCATCACTGCTGCTTCCTTCTTTCCCTAGTATGCCCCTTCTTACCCAATCTCCCTAGCCGTCCGTTTGTACTTCTTTCTCCGTCACCCTGCTCTTGTATCCCCACCCCCCCCTTCTGCACCTGCTCTTGGGCTGTTATTTCCTTGTGTCTTCATCTGCCATGCCATCACCCCACACAATAACCCTGAGCCCTGTACTGCGCGCCAATGTCCTGCAGGAGTTTGAGGAGCGGCAGTTGCTGCGAGTGAGGCAGATGGAGAACGTCACAGCAGAGAGGGAGAAGGAAATCCAAGAGGTGAGCTGGCCCTGGGAGAAAAAGTGCAGGTTCCCTGGCGGAAAGTTTCTAGGGTTTTGCTACAGTCAACCTCAGCTGCTTGGAGACGATGCGGTCACACTTCAATTCCCCCCAAGAGGAGTGACAGTTGCTGCAAGTGAGGCAGATGGAGAACGTCAAAGCCGAGAGGGAGAAGGAGATCCAAGAGTTGAGCTGGCTCTGGGCGTGAAAGTGCGGGTTCCCTGGTAGGGGATCTCGCGTTTCTGTTTGTGTCGCTCAGATCCTTCAGCTCATGACAATGTGGACTTCTCTCTCAGTCTTCCTTACTGTAGGAGCTTATCGTACTGAACAAACATCGCTCTTCCATTTTCTGCTCCTTTTCTCCCTCCCTGTCTGGTTTTGAGGCGCCTCAAAACTAGACTCTTATGGTACTGAACAAGCATCGCTCTTCCATTTTCTTCTCCTTTTCTCCCTCCCTGTCTGCTTTCTCTTGTTTGAGCAGATAGTGCAATCGGTGCATGACCTCGCTCAGATTATGAAGGACATTTCAGTGCTTGTCATTGATCAGGTAAAGGTCCTACTGTTGGAGATGTCTCTAACTGCGACCTCGTGCAGATAACGAAGGACATGTCAGTCCTTGCAAACTATCAGGTGGGACCGGTATGTCAAATTCGTCCCTGCTTGTGGCCTTCTCTCTTCCCGCTTGCTCGATCCATCTTTGTGAGATGGCTTTCGAGAAGGATAGCATGACTTGCATCTGCTCGGTATTTCTCAGGCAGGCCTCTCACCTTGGTGGAACTTGATCTGCTGCACTCTCTTTGTTTGCTGTGCAGGGAACCATTGTTGACCGTATTGATTACAACATCCAAAACATAAGTGCAAATGTGGATAAGGGTGTGGAGGAGCTAAAAAAGGTAAGCTGCAATCTTGCTACGAGCGTGCTGAATCGGCAATATGGGTAGATGTATCGATTTCATTGATTCCCTTGGCGATGTCATCCTTTCCTGCGGCATTGTCACGGGGTCTTCCTGTGCAGGCTGAGAAGACCCAGAAGCAATCAGCCCTCATCTTCTGCATACTTGTCCTTGTGGTTGCGGTTCTGGCCCTCTTTGTCATTCTCATCCTCAAGAAGCTCATATTTTGATGATACTCCCTCTGCACCTGTTGTGGCCAAACAACCGGCATAATTCGCGGATAAGCTGCTACCCAGCGTGGAGCAGTATGGAGTGAATGGGTCTCGTACAGGTGGCCACATTGTCGGCTATAAGAGATTCTGCTGCACATCAGTTTATGCCCAGTGACTTAGTACACACAGCCTGAACGTGTTCTCCTGTTGCCTCCTGTCGGGCTCATATCTTGTCAGAAGGTTTTGCCAAGTTGTAGTGAAACTTGTTTTCTGGATGAATGTTGAGAATGCACCCTCACCCTTTATAGCTCTTTCTGTGAGTTCCAAATATCGAGACCGGTTTCTGAAACACAGAGTGTTCAGCCCTACAAACACTTGTTCCCTTCTATCAATTTTAATTGTTCCGTTTTTTTATGCTGATTGCACACAAAATAGCTAGTACTCGCGTCCAAAGCGCAACAATCTCTCAGTCTGTCTGCGATGAGTATGAAAACGGTTGCAATTTCGAGTCGCTGTGAGCGCTTCGAGCAGGCGGAAATTGCACGATAGAAATCGCAAAATAAACCGTCAGTCTCTTCTGTGCTTCGTCGCTTTGTCTGAATGTGAGTCGTCGTGGTGAGTCGTCGTGACTCCTCGCATTCCTGTCTGCTGCTCCCTCGCAAATATCAATGCTCCATCGAAGTCCTTCGTGGTTCGAATCGTGATGATTAATTTGCGCATTTAAGGCTTTCGTTGTGGAGATATATCTCCGCAACTGGGACGTTGGGAACTGACGTGTCGAATGTTGATTTTAGCGTGCGTGCGGGAGCAGCCTTCAACGTCCACGATGCGGCGCTCTCAAACTCCTCCGCTCACACAAGTGGCTTACCCGCAGTCTAGAAAAAAGGATCCAGTTTAGATACTCGAGCTGCATTCAGAAGCTGCTGCTGCCGTTTTTTTCCCTCCTGCTTGAAACTCCTCATCAGGATGTAGTTGATACGGCTTGAAACTCCTGCTTGAGGCGCCTCAAAACTGAAACTCCTCCTCAGGATGTAGGTGGTACAGTATAGCTCTGTAGTGTGCGGCACGACAGAAATTGTCGCCTCGGTGCGGGCGCCAGACAGCCCTGATTTACATACTAGTGAAAACCCAAGGTTGAGCCGCACATATCCGGCATATGTTTGAGAAAGGGTGGCTTGCGCGATGCAACCTGTGTCCGTTTCGCGTCGCGTGCAGATCTCGGACTGGCAAAGTTGTCGACTTCGTAGAGCCTTCCCTCGATGTTGCCAGTCTTCAAAGTTGTCAGACAGCTATATCCCACTACCTGCCGAGTCCGATTCGAGAGGTACAGTTTTAACTAACTGGTATCATTAATACAGTTCTAACGTACAACTGTCCTCGAGCGGAAGGGCAGAAAGTAAGGCGTCTCGTCGCGCGCCTGTCCTCGCTTGTCTCCGAGTCGTGTCGTCTCATGACTCGTCCGCAGACGTGGCAGCTAGGCAAACGTCGTTCCATAAGGAGCAGAGCGGACGCGGCGGATCGACCGAATGGGACAGCATGTGTGATGTGTCGCCTCGCCAGTGACCAGAGCAGGGACGACGACAGCCGTAGCGCTGCTCCCGAAACAGCGACCAAGAAAACCGTATAGCGCGTTATTCGTAATACACTACAGTACAGTACCTACAATTTCCAGAGGTACAGTAGACTGGTAACCGCCATTCTATCCACTCCGATTCAATCTGTGCTGCGCGCACGCGTCATTCTAGTGCGTGTATCAGTACGAGCATTAGTCGATTCCGAGCCAACTGCTGCCCTGTATCAGTTGGCTCGGAGCAGTGATGTGCCTTCCAGTGCCACTTGAAACCTCCAGCGCCGCATACTCACATGTGCGGATGTATGCCGCCATGATGTGCTTTCACAATGCAAGCTCCAACGCACATGCTGCCACTGGTGCGTCTCTAGTCCCGCTGTCTCACCACGTCAGCAGCAACTCGCGCGCTGCTTCCCCACGTCAGCAACGGATCCGATGAAGATCGCGCCGATATCCGCCTAGCTGCAGCCTGATCAAGATGGCATGTTCCGAGAAGGTCTCCACTCACTACCAACTGCCTTACCATGAAATGGATCATCTCTCACTCCTCCTCTCACTCCTCCTCTCACTCCTCCTCTCACTCCTCCTCTCACTCCTCCTCTCACTCCTCCTCTCACTCCTCCTCTCACTCCTCCTCTCACTCCTCCTCTCACTCCTCCTCTCGCTCCTCCTCTCACTCCTCCTCTCACTCCTCCTCTCGCTCCTCCTCTCACTCCTCCTCACTCCTCCTCTCACTCCTCCTCTCACTCCTCCTCTCGCTCCTCCTCTCACTCCTCCTCTCACTCCTCCTCTCGCTCCTCCTCTCACTCCTCCTCACTCCTCCTCTCACTCCTCCTCTCACTCCTCCTCTCACTCCTCCTCTCACTCCTCCTCTCGCTCCTCCTCTCACTCCTCCTCTCACTCCTCCTCTCGCTCCTCCTCTCACTACCAGCCTTATCCCCAATTTCATGTGCAGCCTTGGCTCCCCTCACGCTTAGCTCAACTTGTCCGGGCGTGCAGCCTTTAGCGAGAGGAGGTGGCGTGGCGATCGTTCTAGAAGTTAAGAAACCTACCAGGCCCATCATGTAGACTCTGTACCCTGGAATCCGGGGTGGTGCGAGTTAGCAGCAGGCAGGCTCGGTCTAGATATAAAAAGCGACCCGGACCTGTCACTTTGGATTACCCTCATTGCTGTTCAGCGCCCTTCAGTGCTCTCGAGCGGAGCTCGAACCTTCACCCGAGTCACCCCTCTCACACACGCTTCTGCGTGAACGTTGGTTATCCAGAGCATATACAGCCGCCTCAACTCACCACTCGACTTCGGGTGAAGCACTCTTGCAGCTGGCCCCTTTCACAATCAACTCAAGCTCTTTTTGCCCCGTATTCAAGCCAGCCGCATCCATCCATCCACTCATGGCGGTCGCGGAGAGCCCCATGCACCTCTTGAGGGGGACATACCAACGGAATCTCGGGCACGAGCGAATCCAGCCACGGCAGGAGTGTCTCTGCTTAGTCCAGGCGGTTTTCCCAGACTTGGAGCTTAACCAGCAGCCCCAGCAGCTCCAGCTCCATCAGCAGCAGAAGCGGCCCGCCAGCCTCTTATGGCATCATGGGGCAGGGAAGAGACGGCGCCTGGGTTGGAGTGGGGAACAGCAGGGAAGACAACCTCTCCCTCCGAACCTCATGCCGTACTGCTGTGATTTAACTGCTCGTGGTGCCGCTGGTGGTACTGCTGCCACTGCTGCTGGTGATACTGCTGCCGCTGCTGCTGCCTTCCCTGCACTATTCCCTATCGCTTTCTCTCAGCCTACAAAGGACCACCACGTTCCGTCCTTTGCCGGGCTCCTGAATTCCATTTCGCCTGCCCGGCAACACCAATGCCGGGTCATCTCCGCCCCTGCTGCCTCTGCCATCTGCTCTCCGTGTATTCCGAGCCACGAAGCATCGGTGTCTACAGCACTTGCGCATACGCAGCAGCAAGTGTCTAGGTCGGGGGATACCTGTGTCCTGAATAGTGTGACAGGCTGTCGTGACTCTGCATCGTCTTCCGTGGGCTCTCGTTGCACACAGCAGGAGAAGCAAAGGAAGCAGGAGAAGCAGGAGATGCAGGGGGGAGAGGAGATTCAAGAGAGAGGAGTACAAGGATGGGTTGCGATGGGGGATGCATCGGCAGGCTTGCTTGATTCTCAAGGGCAACCTGCTGCAGGGCCTGAGAATCTCTCCATGCCGGGTTGTCTCTTTATGCATGGCAAACTCTCAATGCCAGAGGATGTGCCAGGCAATAGAAGTGAAGCTTCTGAAGAATCTGATGATGATGAGCTACAAGACACTGCGTCTACTTGAACGAAAAATGACATACAAGTCTTCATGGTTTGCACACCCCTAGCAATTGTGTTGCATGTAGCCAATTTAGATTTGTGTAGTGTATTGTGAAGCTTATGAAGTTAGATTTGCTGTACCGTACAAATACCAATTCAAGTGATATGACCCCAATACCATTGACATCTTGGAATGAGATAGAGTGTAGGATTATTGCAAGTGAGCTGCAGAATAAACAGTATCTTGATCAAGATATGACAAAAGCATGCAATGATGCTCACAATATGTGAACAATCTCAACTCAAACTGGGTGTTGTAAACTAGGATGAGTGTTTCTAGTATGGCCTCACACAAATGTGCTCCAACTCACTAAGTAGACACGTTTTTGCATTTGAATACAAGATAGGAGAAATACACAATGAGTTGTGTGTCCTCGATGAGCCCGAGCATAAATGCAACAATTGAGTGAGTGCTCTAGTTTTGTTTTTTTGTTTTTTTTTGTAATGTTTTGTTTTTGTGTGTGTGTGTGTGTTTTTTTTTTTTTTTTCCTGGTCGCTGGTTTCACGTCGAGTACAAAACATGTAGTCATGGCGGTAATCCCGGAAGGAAGGCAAGGGAAAGGGGAAAAGAAGAAAGAAAAGCAATTGCCAGACCACAAGACACGCAAAGAAATGAAGCACGCAACAAGAAGGCGCAGGGAAAGCGCCGAACACTAGAGCCAAACTCCCAAAACAACCTAGACTCGCAGGTCCAGCAGGTAGGGCGCACCCGCTGACGAGGCCCCCCACCAGCCCTCCCGCTCGCCATCTACCTGCTCCGCCGGCACAATGTCAGGCCCACCCAACATTGACGTCGCACGCAACAATATGACACATACCTGGGCCCGCTGTAGAGCCACCCCAATAGCAGCCTTGAGAGACCCCACCAAATAAGCTGAGAAAGTTTTCGCATTTCCACCACCCGCCCCCTTGCTCCTCACCACCTGGAGCTGTACATCCCCCTGTTGGCGCAGCCACCGGCGAAAACCTCCCCCGAGGCAACCCCACCTCTCGACAATGAGCGGAGTAAACAACACACCTCGATGCCGCTGCACCAACGCCTTGTAGTCCGCCGTCTTGCGCTTCTCCCGTTCGCGAGTTGCGAAACCCCCCACCCGCTCGAGCTGGCCATGTTGCTGCGAAGAGAGCGAGATGGGATCCACGACACTCACCTCGAGCGCGTGCGCCAACATGGCCGTACACCACCCATATGCCTAAGATAAGGGGTTGCAAACGGCCGCCGAATGAATGCCGAAACCACCGAGCCTCGCCGGAAGGTGCAGCTGGAGGCGGGCCATGCGCGACCTGTCCGGATTGAGCTCCCAGCTACCAGGCGGAAACAACTGCTCAAAGCAATCCTCCATGGCAACATCTCAGTCTCGAAAGGCCTCTGTGAGAGTACGACATTGTTAAACCAATTTCCTCTTCCCATATTTCCTTTCTATATCATTCCTATTTTTTTCCTGATTCATTTGGTCTTTATCTCATCTCATTTGGTTTCCTATTCCTAAATTTCCATTATCCTTTGGTTTATAATGTTATTATAATTATATCACCGACCAGGCTCGGGATGTACTGGCGCGCTATATCTAACGTAATCCCTTTAAGCCAATAGCATTGCGTGGCTATACGCAGGGTGATTCTATTTCTAGAAGGGTCTATTCCCTTTGGATAGGATAAACTTGGTTACCTGATGTACTCTTGAAGTATAAAAGCACCTTGTACTGATTGATAGGGCAATATTGAGCAAACCTCATTCGATCCTGTGACAGCATCCACGACCTCCGGCCTAGGGGGCATTGTCCGCGTGAGGTAAATACGGCGTGCAGACACAGCTATGGCCAAAAGGTGAGAAGCGATATGTGGGTGGTCCAGGAGGGGAAGTCAAGGCAAAGGCGCCTGCAACTGTTTCAAGCGCCCACGACTGTCAGGCCACTACACGCGGACTGCAAATCCGATGGCACCTCGCCCCCCCCCCCCGCCTGCCCCCAGCCACGCCCGCGCTCACAGCCGCCGCCCCATCCGCGCCTGCGCCCACGCCCGCACACCCATCCGTAGCCTCGCGCCCGCCCGCGTTCCCCTCCCCATCCGCAGCTCTGCCCTCGTATCCACCCCCAGTCACGCCCCCGCCCCAGCCGCCACCCGTCCTCCCATGCTCCCAAAGGCAACATTTATGCGGTAGCACCTCCAAGCGAAGCCCCCCCAACCGCTCGCGTAGAACGTCGTACGCCAGCAGGACCCAGTCCAGAGGCCCCAGAATGTACGTGTCATCAGCATAACTGAGGAACAGGATGTCAGGGAAATCGCGGATGGTGGGTTCCATCGCCAACTGCTGGGTGAACGCGAAGAGGAAATCACCAAAAGGATCACCCTGCCATGAGCCCCGCTCCGAGGACAGCACCTCTATGAAAGGGCCCGCTCGGAGGTAGAGGTCGCTGGGAGCACTGTAAAACACCCGTAGGAGCGGAATCAACCCGACAAATGACGAGTCACGAAGACCCTCGAAAAAAGAGTTGAAAGTGTTTGCCACATCGATCTCCAGCGCGCACCAATCCGGATGCAGCTTAAGGGCCGAGCGGAAAGCATGCGCAAGCGCCTCCACACCCGACCGAGACCCCACCCCTAGCTGGTTATACGGCGCAAAGTGAGACACCATCTGAGCACGCAACATGAGGGAGATCGCGCGGGTTAGGATGCGCGGGAGCACCTCGCCAATTGCCATAGGTCGAACGCCGCCATCTGGCTTCGAGAGGCTCACCAAGTTCGATGCCGCCAGCCAGGGCCGGACCCGCTTGGCCACCTCCCCCGCAGTCCACTGCTAAAACACCCCGAGCAGGTGGGAAAGGTAGGAGGGCTCGGAGAGGAAGGTATCACGAAGGTGCTTAGTCACCCACCTGGAAGGCTCCGAATCACGACCAGCAGAGTGGATCGCCTGTGTCAGCACCTCCACCATGAGCTGAGGGAGTTGTGATCCCTCCACCGAGACGAGTGCACCCACTCAGGAATAGGAGTCACGTTGGCAGGGTGCTTAGCCCGCAAAAAATCCACCATGGCTTGGGAGGGCTGCACCAAGGGGCTCGAAGTAAGGCAGGCCAAGCCTCGGCTCCACTCGCCTACCGCGTACTGCGTGCGGAAGCGAGCCAGCATAGCGGTCGAGATGCTGGCAACATAGCGGCCCGAGCAGAATCAAACAAACGCCACCATTCGCTTGCCCAAAACTGCTCCAACCACTCTCGAATCACAGCCCGGTGACCCGCGCCCTTCCCGTCCGGGACCCCCAAGATGAGACGGGGGAACGCTAAAAGCATAAGTGTAGCCGCCCCATTCCCCGAACGTGACTTGAGGCACTTGAAGCTGCAACAAAGAGCGTCCAGGACTCCGAGGCGGATGTGGAGAGGGATCCAATGCATCAACCTCCCCGAAACCCAGTCGATGCCAAAAAAGGCCTCCCAATCCCATGACGACACCAGGTCCCACACCGCGTCGCCGATATCCTGAGCTGCTGGCCCATCACCCTCCTCCTCCGCATTCAAGTCAGGGGTCAAACCCAACGCCTAAGTCCGACGCTGGGCGGCAGCCGCCCGACATGCCTCCATGTGCCGCGACGCCTGACCATCGTCGACAAATGTTTGGAGGCACTCCTCACATGGGATCCAAGGAGCCGGTGCCACCGCAGGGTCTGGAGCCGCTGGCTCTGCCGAGGGTCCAGCGGCCGGTGCAGCCGAGAGATCAGCGGCTGGCACGGTTGCAGCACCCCCAACGACCGTCGGTAGGGGCCGATGTGGATCCAAGGCAAGGGCAGCCGGAGCGGGCAAGGTCTCCTGCGCCATCATGGGGCTGTCACAGGGAGGAGTCGCCCGCCCGGAGCGCATCCCCAAGTCCCCCTCCGGAGGCCCATCCGAGTCCGGCCCAAGTTGCACACCCACCGGCACCCCCCCTCCGCGTTCAACCCCAGCCCGACACCTGGTTGTTGACCCCGCGTCGCCCGGAGGGGCCGCACTAGCCCCACCCCACCCGCTTGCTCCTATGGCGGCTGGAGAGACTGCCCTGGCCCCACCACTGCCTGCCACCCGTGCCGTCCAAGGAGGGGCTCCACTTTCCCGCCCTCGGCTTGCTGCCCCCGCCTTGCCTCTAGCGGCAGCCCCCTCGTCAATGCCTGCTCCTGCCGCGCTTCTAGCAGCTGCCCCGCCCGTCCCCCATCCGTGACATCAGGTTCAGCTCTCTCAATTGCGCCAACTGCCGCTCCAGCTGCTGCCCCAGTTGCTCCCTCGATCCCCCCCCCCCCCCGACCCCAGACCAACAAACCAACCGCCCCTCCCCTGCAGCCCCCCCCTCCGTGTCCTTGGTATGGACGTCCATGGGCAAGGGGAAGCCGCTCGGCCCGCGCACCGCCCCCTTGAGAGAGGGGTACCCATCCTCCCAAGGGGACCCGCCCCTGCCGCAGCGGCACCCACCACCACCCCCTCCATCGCCGAATGGCAAGCCTCCGATTCGCCAGCCGACTCTACGGCTGTAGGAGGGAGGTTCAGGTCAAAGGCCCGCGCCCCCATCCCCTCAGGAGGGGCAGACGGGGGCGCGGGCGTGCTGGTCACCCCCAACACCCCCCCTTCCTGCTGCCCGCCGGCGCCGAGCTCCAGCTGACCTCCCGCCGGCCGCTCCCTCTCCCCCCCCGCAGCCGGCTGCCCCCTCGCCCGGCGGCCCCACCTCCGACTCGTCCGCCGCCGCCCTCCCGTTGGCGATGCCTGCCACTCTCCTGCCTGCAGCGCCCCAGAGCTTGCCGCCCCCCTGCCGCCGGCAACTGTTGTCCCTCCAGCGGCTGTCCACCCACCGGACACTCCAACCGGCCGCCCCCAACCACCCCAACTCCCCTCCCGACCGCCATCCCGATCGCCCTCCCGCCAGTCCGGGCAGGCCTCCGGCCGGCTGTGCCTGCCGCCCTCCCACCAGTCCGGGCAGGCCTCCGGCCGGCCGTGCCTGCCGCCCTCCCGCCAATAGTGCGTGTAGCCTGCCAGCCACCTGTGCCCATTGCCCCTGCCGCCCCCCCGGACAGCGTCCACCGCCCTCCCACTGGCAAAACCTGTTGCCCTCCTGCCAACAGCAACGCTCCCGACCGGCCATGCTGGCTGCCTTTCCGTC